GTGGGTTTGGGTTTCTGGAGGCTCTGCCAGGTGCCAAGAAAAGCCCTGTGAGAGGGCTTGCTCAGGCCGGTGTAGGCTGGCTACAGCTGGAAGTTGTTTATTTACGGCCTTGGGGAGGGTGCAGTGTCCTTCTGCGCCCTGGGAGCATCGTGGCGTGCTATACGGACATGGGTGCTATAGGGACATGGGTGCTATACGGACATGGGTGCTATACGGCCCTGTGTCCTATATGGCCACACTGCCCTATAGGCACACATGCCCTGGCTGCACACGGGGAGGCTTTCTGCTCTCCATAGGAGGAGGCAGGAGAGAAGCATTGCAGCTATTATAAAAATCAAATTTTCTTTTAAAACGAGAGCATTTGTAGGTGAATGGAGCTAAACTTTCCCGCTCTCATCTCTTGGGTGAGGAGAAGGGGGTTTGCCCAGCCTGGGGTTGCTCCTCTGCACTGTCTCTGAAGGAGTTGCCCAGGGATGGGGTGCTCAGGGGACTTGGGCTGCCAAAATGCAGGGAGCCAGCTGGCAACAGGGTCAGTGCTGGAGGGGAGGCCCCTGGGACAGGCTGCACCCCCGGCTCTGCTGCTGCATTGCAGGAAACATAAGAATGGGAACAGCAGCAGCACCATGTCCCAGCAAGCATCGGCTTGGCACCCCAGTGGCAGCTCCAGCCCCGCCAGGCTGGTGCAGAGGTACCATCCCAGCATCACTGTGGTGGGGCTGGACATTGTCCCTGCTGTGCCACCAGCAGTGGGGATGGTCCCATCCACCCCTGCTTGGTCCGCAGCGGGACACAGCCCTGCAGTAGTTCCCAGCGCTGCAGCCCCGGCAGAAGCACGGCAGGAGCGCACATCTGCGTTCCCAGGGCTTCCTCTGACCTGCCGGCACGTTTCTCCTGGGAAATGTTTGGGTTAGGGCTTCACTCTGCTTTCTGAGCCGCTGGGTTTTATTCATAGGCTGTGGCCTCTTGAGACATCCTCAGCCATCAGCCTGGTCCAGAGGAAAAACAAACCCATTCCCTGGATGTCAGGGCTATGAAACACCCGGTGGTGCCGCAGCTCTTGGGCGATGCCGCTCGCTTCTGTCCCAGCGCTGGTGTCCCTGCCATGCAGGAGACAGGACTCAGGGCAGGAGCATCGCCCCGCAGCCCCCATTGGGAATTCGGACGTGCTGAAGCCACTGGGTACCCTCACGTGTTACCCTGCCAAGAGGGGGTGGGAAGGGCAAGAGCCAAGGTCGGGTCTGTTGGAGAGATCCGAGGCAGGTGGACACACGGACCCGGTCCTGACCCAGCAGCAGAAGGGTCCGGAGCCATACAGCAGCTGTCCCGGCCCCAGGGCTGGCCAGGAAGTATGTCTGGCTGAGAGTCCTGCACCCCAAAATGCCTGTTTACAGAGGGGGGCTGCGAGCTCCCACCTCCACGATGGACTCGGAGCTGCGGAGGACGCTGCGCTGAGCGTGGCTGCGCATCCCTGCAGGGGACAACTCGTGGGACGTGCTCTGGTTGCATTAACAGCAATATTGCTTCTCTCTTTTGCAGGCTTGATCTTACTGTTTTACTTCATTTTCTACACGTGCCTGGCAGGAATGTTTGCCTTTTGCATGTACGTGATGCTGCTTACGCTGAGCCCCTACACGCCCACGTACCGGGACCGCGTGTCTCCGCCAGGTGCGTACCCCAGCCAGCCCTCGGGCACCTCAGCTGGCACTTGCCCAGCAAAGTGCTACCGAAATGGCGTGGCAGGGACCTCGGGTAAAGCCCTGCCAGAGCTGTACCCTCCTACAGTCAGCCAGCCCCCATAACACGGGGTGTTATCCCTTACCTCAGGGCGCTGCCAGTGCTGCAGGTTCTCTGCAGAGGATCAGGCATCTTCAATAGCCCCATGTGAAGCATTCCTTCTAATTATACTAATTGTTACTCTAATTACGCTCATTATGAGGCTAATTATTCTCAAGGTAAATGAGCAAGTTTGGGCATTTCATAGGTGATGCTCATTTGTTGCCCTTGCTGCCCCTTTATATTTCATATCTTCAAAATAAAACGTAAATCATTTTATGCATTGTTATTTGGGGGAGTCCCGGCAAGATAATGTTCAAAAACTCCCTTCCCTATGACAGAAGCAGCCTTTTCCCCATGTTTTCACGTTGGTGGGGCACACGAGGCCCCCTTGCCCTGCTCCCTGCCCGCAGCTGGGAGCCAGCCCTCAGCCTCCCTGTACAGCCCCAAGCCCAGCTCTTCCCTGCAGCGCTGCTGAGACCCTCCAGGACTCCCATGTTTCCTGGGATATTTTGATGTGCACGGTGTTCTCTGGGTGTGAAATGGAGCTGAGGGATCAGCGGGTTGAGGAGAGAGGTTATTTGCGAGCTGATGCTGCCGCTCTCGTGCTGGTGCCCAGCCCCAAGTGCAGTTGCAGTGCAACCAGCCCCTGCACCACACACCCCAAACCTGTGCCCAGTCCACTCTAACAGGGTCCGTTTCCTCCTCCAGGAGTGATGATCAGACCGTACTTGAACGGGTTCACCATTGCCTTCAACGTCTCTCAGCCCAGCACGTGGCAGCCCTACGTGGACAGCATGCACCACTTCCTGGCAGGTAAGCTCTTGGGCACCCCAGGAGTCATGTCAGAAAGTTGTTTGTGTCCATGCACCCAGTGCAGGGGTCTCCTCCTGGGCTGCAGATCAGCTCTCGGCATCTCACGACCCCCATCTAGAAAGGGAGGCTCACAGGGTGGTCACAGGAGCTTCTGTGGGAGGGAGCCTTGCCTTTCCAGGTGGGACTTTCTACCTCCCTTGACACGCGGGTGTACCCTCAGAGAGTGGGTCTGTGCAGGTCTCAAGAAGCATTAACAAGTCCCTTGGTCCCCACCAGCTTATGATGACAAAGTTCAAGAGGAGAAGAATATCGAGTGCATCTCAGGACAGTACTTCATCCAAGGGGGCAACGAGAGCGAGGAGAAGAAGGCTTGCCAGTTCAAGCGCTCGCTGCTGCAGAACTGCTCGGGCATTGAGGACCCAACGTTTGGCTACTCCAACGGCCAGCCCTGCATCAAAGAACCGGGTACAGAGAAAGCCACTTGTCTTAATTCCTTCCTTCAGTGCACCCCAGTGCGACAGACCGTGTGAAGACCAGGCAGGGACTGAAACTCCTTCACTTCTCAGGCCTAGGGAAAAAGGGAGCTAGAATCCCCAAACCTGCTGGCTCATACCTGCTAGAAAACATAAAAAAGAAACACTACAAAACTTGTTCGATTTGATTTGCTGAGGCCTGAGCGCTTGGAGGGTCTTGTGCCAGACCCCTGTGCAGGAGGGTTTAGGGCTGCACCTCAGACCCCAGTCTCTTTATAATGGGAATTTTCATAGAATTATCTGAAATCTTCTAATAGCATGGTGGCTCAGTGCACGCTGCTGGGAAAATAAATGTGGGAAGTGTGTGAGCTGTGTGGGGAAGTGTCTGTATTGCTCCAGGGAGTCTGGGCGCTCGGGATGCTCTGCTCTGCCTCCGCTCTCGGGCACAGGCAAGCTGCGCTGCACAGGGTGGCAGACCCTGCTTCTCGCGGCACGTAACTCCTGTCCTGAGCAACGAGACTGGCACGTAGAAGAGTTTAAGCCCTGGAGAAGGGAGGCAGCATGTGCTTGGCACTGCATTTCATACAACCATGGATGTCTCTTGTTTTTGCAGATCATAGGCTACCGCCCCGGTGCTGGGGTCCCTGTGAGCGTGGACTGCAAAGTGCAGGTACTGCTTTCATTCATGCTCGGCAGCGTGGTGTGCAGGTCAAACGTCTCCCTCTGATGGACCCCACCAATATCAGTCCTCATTTTAGCCTCAAACGCTCTCAGGACCCATGAGGCTGGGTGCCAGGGTGCCAGCTAGAGCCTGGAGCTGGGGGGGGAAGAAGCAGGAGCTGCTCACATCCATCCCCACCCGCTTCACAGGACCCTCAGTCCTGGGGAGCACCCTGCAAACCAACAGCAACAGGGTGAAGGAAGGGCTCCCAGTGCCCGGCAGCAGCTGGATCATACCCTTAGACAGCAATAAAGCAGCAGGCAAGAGCAGGGAGGGATCCACAGGCAGCAAATTCTGTAACCCTCGCCTGTGCCTTCCTAGCGCTGTTGTGCTCTGGCTCGCTGCAGCAGCAGCTGGCTCCCAGCAAACACACTGTGCAGGCACAGCTGAGCCCTGACATGGATTTGGAAGAGGTATCTGTATTAAAGCACCTTGGCCTTACTCTGAAAGGAGCCATATTTTGTGTTCCACGTACTCTGTGTGTACCTTTATTTTTTTTTCCCCAATCACAGAAAGGCAATGAGAGCGATCTCAGATCGGTGGACTTCTACCCTGGAAACGGGACGTTTGATCTCATGTATTATCCCTACTACGGCAAGCTCACTCACGTGAGTAAGGACTCCGGCATCTTTGTTATGCCTCTTTGGGAAGGAGTGAGCAGGAGCTGCTGCAGAGTACAGATGTGCTTTCTGGCTATTTTGGGCAGATGCAGGCAGGAGGGAGGCCATGGGCACTGGGATTACAGCGCTCTATTTCTGTCTCTGACAAACTGCGGGAAATCCTTAGGGACTCCAGTTTCCCTTTGCCAGCAATGGGAATGATCACATTTATAATCTGGAGACTAAGGCTGGCTTTGCTAACTCCCAGAGAAGGTCCCAACACCAGCATTTTTCCAGGGCGCTAGGGAAGTCAGAGGTTAGGTGATAGGAGAGGAAAAGGATGGGGCTTCTGTCAAAGCTACGACAAAACGACAAAACCTCTTCGAGCTGGGTGGCTCCAAACAGAGCGGTCCAGCATCGGTGGCTGTTTCTGAGCACGCTGGCTAGCACTGCTTTGGTCTGCACAGCGTTAGGAGGCAATGCACCTTCACAACAAAAGCTGAAATGGAAGATGAGGCAGGCACTAGACTCCCGTTGTCATATTGCTGCTGGCTGAGGAACAGCCCCAGACGCCAGGTCCACATGTCCTTTGAGCACATGGATCCGAGGAACACCATGGATTTTTTATTACAAGCCATGGGTTGGTTTTCAGAACAACAGAAAGTATTTAAGAGGCCCATTATCTGGTGTTACTTATCCTGGCTGATCAAGCCAAGAGGCACGGTGCAGTGCAAAACTCCGACATGATCCCATCCCTCTGAGCAGAGGCACACAGAGGCTCAGCTTCAGCATCCCGAGGGACCACAGTGAACATCAGGCAAACGCACTCAGATGCCCGAGAACCATGAACCAATTACTAATGATTTTTACTGAACATGAAAGCACTGCCTGCTTTTCTGCTCCCTCAAAAATTACACTGAAATCTCTCTTTTTGCAGGTCAACTATACATCCCCACTGGTGGCCATGCACTTTACAGATGTGAAGAAGAATCATTTGGTCCCTATTCAGTGCAGTCTGAATGGGAAAGGTATTATCAACGACGTTAACAGCGACCGCTTCCTGGGCCGGATCATCTTCACACTCAGCATTGGAAAGTAGCCACCGCAAACACTGGGCACTTAGGTTAAGGCAGTCAGAGGTTTTTTTTCCTTTTCAAAGCATAAAGCCAGCATTTTTTTCTTCTGATAGGAAAAACAGGCACATGGAGATTTTTGTTAATTTATTTTTGTTCATAGATAGGAGACGAATGAGATGCAATGGAGCCTGGAACCATATTTTTTCATCATCTGCTGTAAATCATTGTTAGTAAAAACTGAGAGTTATCTCCTGGGCAGAGAACCTGAAAAAGCATTTCAGTTTGGATTAAAAAATCCTCTGGTATCTGAACACTATTTTCACAAGGTCTTTTACAAGCAACCCCTGTGGAATGCATTTTTCCTGGCTTTAGGTTTTAATCTTTTCCATAGTTTTATGTACATTTCTCAGGCAAAAGCTAACAAGAGGGTAGTTTATTAGCACTATTCTTGTTAAAATAATAAACAGCAAAAATCTGGATTATGCCTGCAATGACGCAGTTCAAAAGTGAAAATGGCAGATCTCAAAATGCCTCCTAGGATCTTCAGCACCGGGAGCATCTTGACTGCAGCATTTTACACAGCTTGTTCAGCACACCCAGGGTGTTGGAGCAAAGGCCACATAGAAAATCATTTGCCCTTGGACCTTTCCAGCTGTTCCTTTCTGAAGTGGGAAGATGAATGCATTTCTCCCTCCTCCTCCTCCTCACTCCAGCACTTCTCTCTGCCCCAGGAATCCTCATCAAGTCTATCAGGCAGGGATGAGCGAAAGGAGCTGTTCTCTCTCCATCAGGGTTTGTGGGTTGACGGCTCCTCCTTCCCCTGTTCAGGCACAGAAGTGCCAGTCAAATGTGTTAGACCCCCCCCCCAAAATATTTCAGGCCAGTTCTTCCCTGATCCAGAGAGGTCACAGCTATGATGCTGGAGAAAACGGCAGGGAAACGTTTACTCGTTTCAGCGGTAAGGGGTCAATGCTGGTATTGGGGAAGTAATCAATTTATTATCCTCAAAGACCTGAGCAACCCCCCGCAACCCCCGGGGCCGTGGGCATACAGCCTCCGTACTCGACAGAGGTGAACTGAACACAGCAGGACAGGACACCTTAGGAGAATGTACTAGTTGGAAAGCACACTTACTAAAATTACTGACTGAACAAGAGCATTATGGTATGTTTGTCCTACATCCTAGTCCAGGCACTTAATCTGCCATCATTTCCTGATCTATAAAAGTCTCTAAGAAGTCATTTTTTTTTTGTATTAAAAATAAAGTGACTACAGTAAAATTAACTCTTATGGTTCCATTCTTAAAACAGTGGTGTAAGAGATGCAGTTTGTGACTTCAGCTCCAGGTGCTGGCCAGTTAGGGGCTGAATTTCAAAGCAGCATGTAACGTGATCCTTGGATTTTGAGCATTTCATTAACTTTCTCAGGCCAAATCGTTCAGAAGCCCAGCAGAATAACACTCACTATATGCAAAGTTTCATGAACAACTATTGGACAAAAACTATTTATTAAGGGCTGTTAAAAACGTGAAGCAGTAGTTTAGGAACTAATTTTTCTCAGATGTGGTTATTCCTGTGACACGGATAGAGCTGGGGCAACACAGCCCTTCTGCCTGCACAACTGACCTGAAAGCGCATGTTCCGATCAACAGAAACCAGCTTCTGCCAAGGAAGATGCTGCTGTGGCTCTGGCTCTTCCTTTGACAGCAGAAATAAGTTAAACTCACAAATGTTTCCGTGCCTGCCAATTGCTTTATCTCTTTTAAAACATTAAAATTCCTGTAGGGTCCTGAAAGGAAACCAAACCCTTCATGCTTCAGGTCATGAAATTAACAGCTCTCCAGATAGCAAGAGGGTAAAACTTTATTTCTATCTTTTCCCTACCTGCCTACTGGAAGGATTAATAAGCAGCTGGTCCTTTGGCAAATGCCGGACCCATGCTTTGATCCAATCAACAAAGATCAACTAATTGGGATGTAAATGCGTGAACAGCTTGGATGCAAAAGTTTCTGTTTCCCTGCCAGCATCCAGATCCAGGCACATTGACAATCCCATTGGAAAAGCTCTCAGAAATGGCATCCGTGTCTACTTACACTAAACCAAAGCTTTATAAACACCATAGTTAACTTTATTTTCCATACACATATTCTGCTTTCAGCATATTTGTACAGTAATTTCAAGATTTGGAGAATTGTATACACCACTCTTGATGCTACAACAACCTTAAAGTGCTGGCCCAATTTTTGACTTTTATTGAAGCCCAAAATAACACTTTGTATGTATATATAAAATATCTATATGTGCATTTTGCCATATTTTACTAAAATAACCTAGCAAAAGTGATGCAAAATACTTTGATCTGCAATCTGAGCATGAAACCATAGATGGAATCCATCTGCTGGCAGCACAGAAGCAACACACTGACAAGCAGCTGTTACTCAGAAGTTGCCAGTCTCAAAATAATTCACCATTTCCCACTCTGGCAGGGAAATCAAGCATTGTGGGAGCAAAGGTACAACACAAAAGACCAAGACAACCCAAACCAAAGCACACAGTCCAACTCAGCAGCGTTAAATTACACTGCTAACAAAAGACAACTTGGTTCAAGAGCCCATTTGTGGTACAAAAATCAGTTTTGTCAGATTCAGGTAAAGCTTATCTTTGGTCACAGTGAGGACAAGAATAATTGAATGAATTCAATGGAATTTCTCAAACATCAAAACTAACTCTTTAGAAAACTCCCTTCCCTGGATACATAACTATTGTGAGTTACTTAAACATCAGTGCTGACTGTCTCCTTTGTGCATGTGAATTACTGATGGTGCTTTCCCTGCAACATTAGATACAGGCTCCATGCACAAAGAAATTAAATATTAAAGTAGCTTTAGTAAACATTCGCTACAGAGGACAGAAACTTTGTGTGCCATCAGTAGCTCTCTGCAAACCTGGCAGCTCTTGAGCTGTCCCACAGCTGGAAATGAGGGTTCACTAGCTGCAAGAGGCTTTTACCAAGAGGGACCAAAGAGGCTGAAAGAGCAAGAAGCCTCTTTCATCCTATCAACATGAACCTGATGGGAATGAAGCAGAACACAAACGACTAGCTTCTATTTTGGTACAGTTTAGATATGAAACATAGAATTGCAGAAGGTTTGGCATGAATAACAATGAAAGCATCTTCAGACAAGTCAGATGCTCTTACTCCTTTGGAAGTCACTTTCTTCGCTATAGATGTATATTAGTTTCTGCTTTATGAGCAGCATTCCTCATACTAGAAATTTTGTGCCCTTACACTATTCAACTGTTGTTTGAGAGAGCAATAATTACAAAGTTAAAAGCAGACTAATCCTATCAAAACAGCCTGTTTTTATATCTTCACTTGCATTCCTAGATCACAGCGTTTCTGTGATCCTGTTAACCCATGAAAGCTGTCCAAAGGAACTGCAGGGATCTCAGAGCAATCTGTGCTCTTAGTCAGTCTTTGGAGATCTCAGAGAATGCTCTTGAGCCCCACATGGACCAGCTGAAACGCTGTGTAGTTTCTTTCATGTGCACAGAATCAAAGCTGAGAGAAACTGCAACCAGTGAAATCCCAGCGTCCTGCCCTCATTTCACAATAGAGCTCAGAACAAAAGGGAAACACAGTCAAACAAAATGGCACAGAACACATTTCCCTTAGCAGACTGTTGGCTTTTCTGAGCAGTGACAGTTCTCCAGGCCTGAGCCTTATCTCAGTGAACAAAGCCATTAAAGACATCATGCTACTGCAAAGCTATTTAACATACGTTAGCAGTCAACTTCTCCATACTGATGTTAAACAAATTCATTTACCAGAAGAATCAGATGTTCTTCTCATATTACGTGAGTTTATTAGTGAGATCAGGTACTACCTTTACATTCAGAAGGAGCAGGAAACTCAGACTGATTCACAAGAACAAGCTGCTAATGAAAAAAAGACAACAGCCATATGCCAAGTTCCCAAGAGAAGACTGTTAAGAGCTTGGTATTCATCTTGCCATAGCATGTACAGTCCCTTTCGACATAGCATTCACACCTTTAGTTATGGTTTCAGCTTTAGCATTATCCAAGATAAGCTATATGCAACTAGAAATTTTCTTGTATAAAAAGATTAAACAACAGAAATAAAGTTTTTGTACATCTTCTTTACTCAATCACATTTCTCACGTGGACACCCATCAACCCTACGGTTGATTCTACGGTCCGCACAACACTTACTTTCTCCAAAATCATACGGGAGCTTCAAGTAATTCTACAACTCATCTTCAGACTCATGGCACGTTATTCTGTCATGTTTTTTGTTTTTTTTAAATAAAGAAACTATGCATTAATTTGGTTTTCTTCTTTTTAAAGGGGCAGATCAGGGAGCCTGGGAAAAGGAGAAGTGCAGGGAAGGTGGCAACAGAGATGAAACTAAGAGATTATACAGACTGATAGCCAGTACGACTTTTTCTTCTTCCAATGAGATAAGATATAAAGACAAGAAGGATAAGGAAGCCAAGTGCCACGCCCACTGCGATGGGAATAAGAAAATTCAGGTCAGAATCAGCAAAGCATTCTTCGGCTGCAGAAAGAAGAAAAACAAGAAAAGTAAGGGAGAATACATTAGTAAAGGAAACGAAGCATTAGAAACCAAAGCATCAAGGAGCAAACAGACGCTTTTGAGAACTTACACTGTATTAGATACAATAATACATCTAAAGTAAAATCACTATTAACAGAAAGATTGATTTTTTTTTAAACATATATGCTACACACATAACTTGTATTGGTAATGCACTTCTTCTGATTTGTATGTTTAATTTCATCTTCCTCTAGCGAGCAGTGCACTCAGATTAGAAATGTGAGGACAGAAAAGCAGGTGAGCACGTGTTAGCTGATCACACCTCAGAGCTAACTGCAATACAGCAGCAAAAAAAGAGAGACCAGTATATTACTGCCTTGTCCAAGTGACTTCCCAAACTCTAAAGTCACCAGCACTTCTCTAGGTTTCAGACACGAAGAGAAAT